CGTGGGGCCAGCGGAGCCGCCCTCGGGCCGAGGCCCTCTCCTCCAGGGGCTGTCGTGCGTGTCAGTATTTAAAAACAAGGTAAACAATAAAAACTATTAAAGTACTTTGCAATACAATTCCCCCCCGGCAAGCGCGTAGCTGCTCAGGAACGAGTATAAGCCAGAAGCCAACAAGGCCTTCCGTGATTGGTTCTAATAGCACAGAGGAGGAAGGCGGGAGCGGCTTAGTCTGCCACGTGCGGATTGGTGTCTCAGGGCTCTTTCCTGTCAGCTGATTGGTGGCGAGGCGGAGGCGGGAAGGTCGGATGCTGAAGGGGGCCGCTGTCGCCTGAGGTGAGCGGTCGCGCGGCGCCGTTCGTGGCTCCCCCCTGCTGTGAGAGGAGCGGGGAAAGCGGCTCTCTGGGGCTCCTGCCTCTTAAAGAAGATAAAGGAAACGCCCCGGTGCCTCTGCGTGGGCTGGGGCGGCACGCACAGAGGAATGACAGCGGGTTTCTCAGCGCGGTCGGCCGCAGTGAGGCAGAAAAATTCTCTTCAGGGCTGGAGCTAGAGTGGGGCTGAGGTGGCGTCGGGATTTCGCTGGGGAGAGGCCCCGGTGCGCCCAGAGGCGCTGCTGGGCGGAGCAGAGCGGGACGAAGGGACCCTTCTTCCGCGTGTCCAGGACCTTGCCGCCTCCTGCCCGCTTCACAGGGAATTACCAATTTAAATTTGCTCTTTTATTTTGTAGATGCTGAAAACCTATAAGAAAAAAAATTGTGTTGCTTAAAAAAGGTAGTCCTTTTTTAAAGCCATCTATACTTCTTCAGGATTTTTAATTCAATAATTTCAACATTTTAACATCACAGGGAAAGTGACTTTCTTTTATTATCCAGAGTGAGAGAAATGCAGGATAATACAGAATAGAAGAGTGACTGGCACCTCATTTTCCCATGAATTATTACTGTAATCTTGTAATCTTCTTGTGGAAGAAAAGAGTTGGTTTAAACATCTCATTTGTAAAGTCAGTATCCAATTTTATTTTCTCGTTGTTATAGAACGAACAGTACAAGGTACTGTTGTCAGCTGTATCTTTGTAGTTTGCAGTGTCTTTGAGTTCAAACTTAAGGACCTACAGAATTGAAAAACTGTAAATTTTTAGTTATTAAATATCTCAAAATACTTTCCTTCCAAGGATTTGAGTTCTTGTCCCAACAATATTCAGTCTAAAAAAAAATAATTTGAAATTATATGTGCAGTTCATCATACTTTTGTTTAAATTGCTGATGTTGCTCATCAGATGGTGGTAACGTGCTCTCATTTGTAACCAGCACTGAGTCTGAGCTGATGGTGTGTGATATAAATTCCTATATGCCAGGTCTGTTAATATTCTGAACTGCTCAGCCCCCTTGTCAGGTTAGCAGCTTCTGCTTGTTTTTGTATGGTGCCATATGTTGTTTCAGGCTTTGCGTGGTTGTTAGTGTTGACTTGTTAATACTGTTTTTTATTGCAGTTATAAAACTGAAGTAAACAGGGGGAAAAAGTGGCAATGTCGTCTGACGTGTCAGAATATACTATTGGGGGAGTGAAGATCATATTCCCTTGCAAGGCATACCCTTCACAGCTTGCTATGATGAATGCTGTAAGTAGAATTTATATTAACATTGGCTAAATTAATAGCTTATGTTTTCCAGTACCTATCAGCATTTAGAAAACTAATATATTAAATTCAGAGCCTCAAATATCTTGAGAATTTCATTTGTAACGTAACTTAACTGTTCTCTGTGCTGTACGATGATATTTGGCCCATGACTAGGGAATGCTGAGGTGCGTTTTGGATTTGTGAACACTTATACCAAGAGACAAGTTATGTGTTATGTAACATATATCTTTATTCGACTAGATATACTGTATAGATTTTACAGAATTTTGCAAGTATATGAGGAGGAAATTATTTACTTAAACATCTGTCTTCTAAACAGAATGTAATATTTCAATAAATTGTCAGTTTTTGGGGAGTTTTTAAAGTGAATTATTGCACTTAACATCTATAAATTTTTAAACATTTTTAAACACTTTTTCTCTTTGGGACAAATGGTTTGGTTGTCTGACGGACGTTTTCGATGTTTTGGTTCAGTAAGGCTAAAGGAAGCAAGCTAGTCCCATCAGGTATTGCTGTTAGTGGGTAGGTATTTCACAGCCCCTGTAAGTGAATTTCTGAGCACTGACAATGAGGCATGTTCCTCTGGAGAGAAATACAGCCAAGGCTTGTTAACCTGTTGTTATTATTAAAGGTGACTGGGATTGGTGGCTTTGGTTTTATTTTCTTTTTTTTTTTTCACAAGACAGTGTCCTAATCTATTTTTAGAAGTTATTTCCAGCTTAGCTAAAGATGTTATCTTTGGTTTTTTTCTATTAATTCTGTTTTTGTTCTCATTATTCTCTTGAAAGATTGTTAGGGGCTTAAATAACAGGCAACACTGTTTGTTGGAGAGCCCTACAGGAAGTGGCAAAAGCTTGGCATTACTTTGTTCTGCATTATCATGGCAGCAGTCTCTGTATGGTAAGTTGTCTTAGTTTCTGTTCACCCAGTTTTCATAACCAAAATATCTTATAATGAATTGTTGTTGTTTATCAGCCTTGAAACATTTGGTTTCAGGAATCTAAGCAGGTCTTTGTCCACCGTTATACATATTGCCTTACTGGCAGCATAAAGAAGTAATGGCCAGTAATACTGAGCTGGATTTAGCTATCTGTTATCATAAGGGAATTATATGGCAGTTGGAACTTGGAAAGAAAATACCTGTGGCTTGTAGTTATGCAGATTAAATTGAAAAGAAGGTGTATTTTTCAGTTCTGCAAGTTGTTACAGTTCTTTCGACTGCAGGTCTTCAAAGAGCGATGATAGTATGGTCAGACTTTATAGAGACACAAGGTTTATGACTAGTTCCTAAACGAGTTCTTTCACCTTAACTGAATTGAAAGTCTAGTTCTCATGTATGGCCTGGAGTAGCTTTTAATGGAAGATAAACTCCTGTGTCCTTTATCTTTAGAGAAATCACCGCTTACATCATCATGTGAAAAGGAAGACAGAAAGCCAGAGACTGCACTGCCATGTCGCTGTACGTGTCATTCCGAAGCTGAGAGGAATGAGGCTGCAACAAGTGTGAATCATGGCGCTTCTTGTTCTTTTAATAATTATGAAACAGGAAGTTCCGTAAAACCTGGAGGTCCACTAACAAACACAGGTAACTTCACACATAGGCAGCTAAAAATCTGTTCTGGAAGTAAAATACACAGCCAGTGATGTCAATTTTTTCACTTTCAAGTCAGGGACTTTTTTTACCATCATAATAGCAGAGGACAATGTGATTCTGCGCTGCATGGGAATCTGTACGGAAATGGTGGTTAATGCAGATGGAAATGTCTAATACTGTTGCCTGCATCATGTGTATTTAGAGTAAATTCTGTTTTTAAAATGTTGCCCTTATTTAATGCATTCCTAGTAGTGGACATACCATTTTATTTTTGATTACAGAGTATAAGGAAAATGAAACGCTAGCTTCAAAATTGTCTGCCAAAAAAAAGTTATCTTTACGTGACAATGAGAACGATGATTTTCAAGTAGACAGGAAAAGGATTCGTCCTTTAGAAACCGAGCAGCAGGTAAGCAGAGTTTATTGGGAGTAAAATAATCTAGGCATAGCTCAACGAAACTGTCAAATACCAATCAGTATTTCAGAGAAGGGCGTAAAGAGTAGTTGAGTCATGTCACAGTCAGTTTGGATTGACAGGTTTTTGTTCGTTATTATTTTACTTGTTACAAAGGAGTCCATTGTTGCACTATACTGTTCATAATACCTTGTCCCAAATTACATCTTGCATATTTAAACACCTAATATCCCCAGAATATATTTATCCCCAGTTGATCTGTAATATTAAATCAAAGTATGAGATTCTAGAGTTGAAAGTGCTCTTGCAAATGTATATTAGAAATACAAATAATACTGTGTGTTAGAGTTCTGTTTTATATCCTGTCCACTGTAGTTATCTCTGGCCTAAGAAGTGCAGTGCAGTACTTCTGTAGTGCCTTCATCTGTGTCAGTACTGGTATCACATGACTTTGTACCTGTATTCAGACGCGCACTGTAAATAGCTTTTACATTGCTTTAGAGTGTTGCTCAGATGGTTACTTCTGTTTAAGTTTTTAGATCAATATGGCTTGAATTTATTTCTTGTTTTAGTTATGGAGGTTTTCTCCTTATATCTATATAGTATAATTTGTATCAGTTTTGTAACAGTGGGAAATTGAAGAAAAGCTCAGCAATAATTATAGAATTTTGTTGTTGTTACTGATTTTTTTTTTTAATTAAAACTTTATAGATTTTCCCAGATGACTTTTGTGTGGCTTACATTTGGTTAAACTGATAGTGAGTATTAGTAATGCACTGTGTTACTGAAACAGAATCGGTGGAAAACAGTTGAACCAAAATCACTGACTGCTAGTCAGTACTTTTGTCCAGTGTGTTTGAACACGGTATTTTTTTTTTCCCAGCAGGTTAGAAAACGTCATTGTTTTGCAAAAGGAGTGCAGCTAGTTGATGCTGCAGAAGTTTACAATCAGAGAAAAAATGGAGAGCTGGTAGTTCACTCTGAAAAAAGTGTGAAAACCACTACTTTTTCTCCCCAAACAGTAAGTAGTACAGTAATATCTTTTACATCAGGACTGTTAGGTCAAGAGCAATTAAAAAAAAATATTTTACTAAAAGAGATTAGATTAACAAATTGCATTTCATATATCGTTTCCGAGAGCACTGTACCTCCGTCTGTGTTACAGCCTAACATAAAGGTTCCCAAGCATGTATGTTGCTTTAAAGTAATATATTGTCACTACCTGTAGCGAGAACTGCAGTGGCTTTTACTCCTAATGGTGCTGTCTAACCAGTGTGGTTTGCAAAGTGTCAATTATTTCTGTGGAAGTTGTGGGTTGAACTCTGTTAGACCATGGCTTCCAATAGCAAGGAATCTGGCCCAGCAATTCAGCCTGTAAACTTTCAGTATGTGACAGCAATTGTATAGCAGATGTAAACTGGAATATAACACATAGATTTATAGCAGATTTATGATATTATGGAAGGACTTGAAACTAGGACCATGGAAATTAATTGAAATCAGAGTTTGTAGATTTTGTTCAACTTGCCATTTATTGTTTTGTGGCATGTGCAGTAAATGAAAGCATTTAATATTAATGTGTGTGCTTCTTAGACCTTAAAATAGTGTGGAGAAAGTCGGAGCTGATTGTTAAAATATATTATAGCAAAAAATGAGTAATAAATATTACACATGATTAAGAAGAAAAATCCTCAGTGTTACTGTGATATATTTACATTTCTGCTTTGGTTTTCTGTTTGGTTTGCTGTTTTTTGGTGTGTGGGTTTTTTTTTTTAATTAGCAAGTTCCATAGCAGAAATATCACGGAAGAAGTTGAGATACAAATATGCAGCTGTTTCTGCAGCTTTTTGCTAGGCATTTTCTGCAAATCTTGCTCTTTTTATGTCCTAAATTAGCTTCTGTTTTAATCAGTGTATCGTTTAACTTCAAGAGCTGTTTTCCAGCATGCTGTACCTTTGTAAACACAAAACAAGCCAAAAGCTGGGAGCTAAATATTTTCTTGAAAAAAGTGAATCTGTGTTTTAGGTCATTTGATGGGAAGTAGTTTTTATTAGTTTTGGAAAGCTCCGTAGATTTTTTTTTTTTAAGTAGGACTTGAAATGCTTTGTGCCTCTGAACTTCAATTGGTGGTTTGAAATAGAAAGGCCAGCAGGGTGTGCTGTTGATTTTTAAATAAAAAGACCTTCCTTCCTTCCTTGATTGTAAAATGTGCTGTGGTACTTCAGTGTGGGTGTCTGAAAAAATTGATTTACAGCTTCTAGAAATGTCATGTAGTGAAGAAAACAAACTTTTAGGACAGATCAACTAACTGTTAGATAGTAAAATACTGACTCATAGTTGTCTGATTTTTCTAAGAAAACTCTTCAGTTTTGTAACAGTAGTTGAGCTGTGCATGGGTGTGTTATAATGTGCTATCCTTGGGTCTGATTTTGCAGATATACTGTACAATTCAAACACTATACTGTTTACTACTTCTTTAGAAAGAAGTAACCTAAGAAGAAATAGAAGTGGTTACTTCTACTCAAGTTTCTTTTTAAGAATGAAAGAATAAGGTATTATTTTCCTGTGATGAACTTTTACTGTAGCAGACTGAAAACTTGTCTGGTATTAAGAAACAATTGTGGAAAGTAAGGCCTTATTTATCCTTAGTACTTCTGCAGCCTAACTACGTTAACTTACAGACATGAAGAGCATCACAGCATAGGCTGTTAGGTGTAAAAATGCTTTTCTAGTGTAGTTTATGAAATAAAGTCAGCTGAGGTTATATTCAACACTTATCATAATGGACTGTGTTTAGGATGATACAATAATGCAAAAAAAATTTCTTAATCAATGAGACAACCTTCTCTTTTGTATATCTTGTGTTTTACTGTGGTCTGTCCTGTGCTTAAAGCAAGTTTAGTTTCTTGTCAAGTCCTTTTTATAGCCCAAGAGAGAATGGAATGGGTTGGTGGTTGTAAGAGCGTGAGAGGTGGGTCTGTCCTGTGCTTAAAGCAAGTTTAGTTTCTTGTCAAGTCCTTTTTATAGCCCAAGAGAGAATGGGTTGGTGGTTGTAAGAGCATGAGAGGTGCTGCCAAGCGCTGCTGCCTCAGAACACCTGCAGATCCAGGGGGTGAGGAGCTTCTGCCCAAGGTGACTGACTGCCTGTTCTTAGCTGCTTTCAGTCCAGAGCCTGGGAATCCATTTCTGTCTTGCTCTTAATTCCTGCAAGAGAGGGCTGTTCTAGTGTGAGTTTGGATGAGAAATTGTACCCTTACGGTACTCTCTTGATTACTTCTGTTAAACATATGGTCTGAGAAACTGGGGCAGGTGGGTTAAGGAATCCCCATTTATATCAGGTAAAAAAAGTAAACAGTAAATGGAGAGTAGTGTAACAAACACTTGGGGTATCAAAAAACAACTGTGAAAAGAATCTGTCTTAATGTGCTAGCCCATTGCAGTTTAACATATTGCTTACAACCTTCACAATGGAGTTTGAGTGACTTCTGTTACACATTCCAGGAGACTGGCAGCCTGTTACAATCAGGGTCTGGACTCCAGAATAGGCTAATTTACCACGATGGGATGAAGAAAGTTGTGGATTTGTATTACACGCTCTCACCTGACACCGTATATGATCCTTTTCCTGCGGATTGCCATTTTGAATGAGCTCTTTGAAGCAAGTTCCAGCTTAATTAAAACGTTTGCTTGGTTAGCAGTGATCTGTGAAAGCCTGTGATAAATATTGAACTGGGTTCACCTGCTGGTTACTGTGAGAGGATAAACAGCTGCTTTGTGTACTTTAATCAAGAGGCTGCAGCAGCAGCAGAATACTGTGCTTTTTGAGAGCTTATAAAGGAAGAGTTGAAAAGCTCTGGTAATGTAACTCTGACATCTTACTAGATTGTGCTTGTGTGATATTTCACACAAGAGGTATTCACTGCTGTATCATTTAGATGGCTTTGTAACCAGGAAATGTAGATGAAGATATGAAGAACTCCTCTTATCTCTTTGTGTTTCAAAGATCATAGCCTCAGTGTTTGTTTAGTTCTATTTTACACGTAGGACAGGTTGGTGGACTTGATTATTCCTTTTTTAATCAGACTTCCACGTTTTTGCCATATAAATATTGATGTGATAAGCTGTTTTATCTACCTCCTGATAAAAGTAAAAACAAGCTGGATTAGCCTAAGGTCCATATAGTCTGGTATCGGATCTCTAACAGCATCTGTTACTGGATGTTTCTGATTAAATACTGCAGAAAGTAGAGGAGTATCTTTTCCCCCCTCCCCCCCCTCAAATGAAAATCTCTATCCCACATTCAAGCAGATGAAAACAGGTTGTTCTGAGGCCAGAGGGTATTATGAAATACTTTTGTATTATCTATTAACTATTTCTATTCACCCCTCCTGCTTCTTTCATAAATAAGTTGAAACATTTTCTAATTTTATTATAGTATAACTGATGTCTCTGTGTATAAGAACTTGTACTTGGAGGCTATGGAAAGTGTCATATTGGAGTTACCACTTTGTTCAGCTGGAGGGGGTTTTCTTTCGTTTTGCTGGAGTAATGGGAGATAAACACCACATCAGATTTTGCTATGTGATATTGATAGTAATTTTTATAGAAACATAGAATTAAAATTGTTTATTTTTAATAAAGTTAAAGATGGCCAAACTATTTTCTAAAGGATAACAAAGAGTTCAAGTGTAGATTGACACACTTCAGTAATGTGCAAATAACGTGAAGAACTCAACTTTTAAACTATGTTTTAATAATTTTCTAAAGTTTCTCTTCATTATAAAGAACCTTCTAAAAAGGTTTTATTTATTTATTTGTGTATTTTGGGCTAATGGTGTCTGTGGCTTTCAGAAATGTTATGACTACTGCAGGCAGTTTTATACTCATATTAGTTGCTATAAAACCAGGCTGAGTTTACAACTCTCAATGTTGACTTTTTTTCTTTAAACAACTTTTTTCAAAGTTAAAGGTAACATTTTAAAACTGGAATACTGGGTAAAGTGCTTCTTAAAGCCAGTATTATACCAATTTCAGACCTTTTATGAAAAACTTTTAAGGCCACCTGTAAAATTCTGTAATTTATAATCTTTATACATAAGAACACTCTTTTAATTCTTTTTATGAAAATAAATATATCTGGTTTTCAAACCCATCACAGAAGAGCCTTCTGTTCACATTTATGTGTTTGAACTGCATTTTGCTGTTGTTAGAACAACTTTTGCAAAAGCTGCCTGATTGGTCCAAATATTTTTCTATTACTTTTATTTGGCAAACTAAATGCTTAGCATTAGCAGTGAAGTATTAGTGATATGGTATCATCTTTGAATTCTGTGTATTCTTTTTACACCTGAAAACATAATCTGACTTGAATTAAAATGAAAAGATAAACGTGTTCTTAAAGGCCCTACACTGTAAATAGACTGCTTCTGTTATATTAGTTGTTAGTATGGTAATGTGGTTTTCATTATTTCAAAGTGCAAAATAGAATATAGATGATAGAAATATCAAGGTACAATTTGCATTGCAGTTTTCTGTGTGAGTACAAGCTGAGCTGAGTACTTGCCCTATGTGTAACATATACCATATGTCAGCTGTTTCCTGCTTTGCTGGTGACAAGAGCCCCATTCATAACTCTTCTTTTTATCCTTTCAGTGAATAAGTAATTATTCAATATAGAAGGCAGGATATTTGGAACTGGCTATTTAATGTGGCAGCACACCGTAATGAAATCTGCTGTTACTGGCAACCTGAGAGGGGAATGTAACAATTCCAGCATGGGTGCAATTTTATCTGCTTTGAGGGCCTGTTTATTTGGCACATCAGGGAACCTTTTATCCCAGTGAGTGACAGCTCCAGCCGGGTTACATTTACATGCGTTCTATCATGTATTGTAATATTTAATGGTGGACAAGGCTGAGTGGGACTAAGGGTAATACGAACTTGGTTTTCCTCAGAGTGGAGGCTAAAAAGACAGCTTGAGCCCCAGAATTGTGGTGTAACACACAGCATGACTTAGCGTTTGTTTATAATGGATAATCTTACTGATTACAATTAAAAGGGGAGGGAGGAGTATTTGAGTGGGCAACTACATGTTGTTTCTTGCACCATCACCTGAAAACCAAATACAAACTCTTATATTAGAATAATTCGTTATTTTTTATGGGAGGTGTTTGTGGACTTGTTTACTCAGGAGTTGTTTTCTCTGTGTCTTTTCACACCAATTATTGCAATTTAATGACAGTTGTTCCAGTGTATATACTATGAAAGGTGGTGCTTCTCAGGATGAAAAAAAAAATTGGCTTTTAACAAATATTTTACAGGATTAGGTTCTGGATAGAATTATTCCCTGATTTGTCTTTTACTCTTAGTTACTAGGTGGCCTTTGACATAACGGCATGGTAAACATGTTTCTAAGGGAGCGTATACGATATAGTCTATTTTGTCTGCAAACAGATTTCGTTAAACTTTCCAGATTTCTTCTGCTTGTCCTAAGGAAAATGTGCTCAATATTTTAATTTGGGTGTCTGGTCCCAAGATTTTTTTTCATTTAAGGTGCTGGATGCTTCTTGGTCTGTAACAGGAGTGTCCTTATGCTGAAGTTTATGTTTGAGAAGTTTATTTGCATTATTCACATGTGTAAATACTCCACTGGAATAATAATTCTTTCTACAATTGGGTTATGTGAAAGTTGTATCCAGTGATTGCTAGAAGATTTTTTAAGACTTTCAGGCATGAGGACATGGTATGTATGCTTTAACATTTTTAAACTTTTTGCAGTTTAATAGGCCAACCTGGTGATTTAACAGGCTATCTTGAACGATCCTAGAGGCGTTTTCTAAATAGTCTATAGGCAGATTTAGCATGTTCATTTTAGCATGGGATTTTGTTCATCTTTTTTTGTTTTGGGTTTCAGACTTCTGACCCGTGCACTGAGTGTTCCTGTTCTGGAAAAGAAACTGGTAAAGATGCTAGTAACCCAAAGAAGAAAGAAAAGGGAGATCGGCCGTTCATTCCCAAAATATTTTTTGGAACGCGAACACACAAGCAAATATCCCAGATTACCAGAGAGTTGAAGAGAACAGCATATTCCACTGTCCCTATGACGATTCTTTCTAGCCGGGATCATACCTGTATTCATCCAGTGGTATCTAATAGTGTTAGTAACAGGAATGAAATGTGTGTAGAATTGCTGGAAGGAAAACAAGTGAGTAATTTTGTTTCAGAAAATAAGCATTCATTTAAACATACTAAAGTTAGTTGAACAGTTGAAGTGAGTAACATTTTTGACTTCTTTATTCTGTGTTGGTTAAATACCTCTGGTAATTTAGTTTAAATTAATTATTGTTAGAAAATCTTGATACACAGTATCAATGCTGAAAAAATATATGATGATAGGAACAATATTTATGACTGCTAGGTTAACATTCTTAGTAAGACTTAAATTGTCTTTGGTTTTATAGATGAAGAAGAAATAAATGTCCTTTATTGATGTATATTTTAGGAACATGGATTTGCCTGTTTTCTTTCTGAGATTATATATTTTTCATTATTGTCCAATATAAAAAGTAGCTGTTAGAAATGTCTTCGGGAAGTAAAGTCAAATGCACATAACAACTTGGAGGACTTAACCTTATTTGTTTTTTGTTATTTTTTGTAACCACTATCTGTACTTTTTGCTTTTAGGGCAAATCCTGTCTTTATTATCATGGTGTTCATAAACTCAGTGAACACCATGCCCTACAGTCTGCACATGGGATGTATCAGGCTTGGGATATTGAAGATCTAGTGAGCCTGGGAAAGAGGCTTCGAGCCTGTGCATATTTTGCAGCCAGAGAACTCATGGTGGGCGCAGATATTGTATTTTGTCCTTATAATTATCTTCTTGACCCACAGATACGGGAGAGTGTAAGTATATTTGTAAGAAAGAGATTGCAATAACTGAAGTTAAAGGGAAGTTAAAGAACATAATGTTCAGTAGCCATGGTCAACTGAAATCCTATTTATATCCAAAATATTATCTACATAATAACTCCTGGGTTAAAGAATTTATCTTTTTTTTTTTTCCCCTTGCCTCCCCCCCTTCCCCTGAGCATTTCTGTATTCCAAGTAATGCTTCTGCTGTGTTCCAAGTAATGCTTCTACTGAATCATGCTCTAGCTGATCAGTCACAAGCTTTTTTTCTATCAGTGGAAAAGAAACCCTTGCAAACTTTACAGTTGTTTGGTTTATGGAGAGTGTAGTATGTTCAGATTATATTAATCCAGGCTGGGATAAGGCTTTTTACCCTCACCCCCTCACTGGTTATTTTGTAGGTTACAGAAATTGGATCAAAAAAGCTGAAAACCTTCTGTTGCTTGCACCATGATGCAGAATACTCACTTTTTTAACAGAATCCTCTTAGATGTTGTTTCTTTTTAATGTCTTTCACTCTGTTTTACAAGATACTCTTTTTCTTTTTTAGATGGAAATTAACCTAAAAGGCCAAGTAGTCATTTTAGATGAAGCCCATAATATTGAGGACTGTGCTCGCGAGTCAGTGAGCTACGGTGTTACAGAAAGTCAACTAAGAGCTGCTCGAGAAGAGCTGGATTTCATGGTAAATAACAACATCAGGCAGAAGGATCATGAGCCCTTACGGGCTGTGTGCTGCTCTTTGACAAAGTAAGGCAACTCTTTTTAATTACATTATATCAATTAGTATTTATTAAAATTATATTTTGATTCCTTTTGCTGATGCAATTTACTGGTTACTATGTTGCATCAGATAAAATGTAACAGAGGTATACTTCAAACTATGCAGTCACCTGATTTTTGTTCATTTGAGGAATCCAGAGGGGCTTGATATCTTTATAAAAATAGCCTTGTCTTAAAGGGAAGCCTTGAAATCCTGTTTTGAAAAGTATGTTATGTGCTTGAATGGTGTACTGATCTTTATGAGGCTTACTATCCTAGTTTATGAAGTGCTGTATGAAATAATTTTCTTTCATGTGCTTCTGTTTGCTTACTTGACAAATAGTAGTAGCAATATTTTGTCAAGGCATTGATTAGTTCACATTTATAAAATACTTTCAGAGCCTTGTACAGGAAGTGTTTGGAACAGGTTAGAATCTGCTCTTGGAATCAGATTGGAATCTATTTGGAACAGATTCTTCTTAGTTGAAAGTGAATTTATCATTCGTGCCCTTTGTTTTCACAGTGAAACAACTTGAACTTGAGCAAAGAGATAAGGGTCTCAAAAACTGTGGTACATGCAAGTTCTCTGAAGAGACTTGAAGTCTTTAGAGAATTCAGGTAGCAAACTCTTTGAACAGAGAGCATGTGCTGTTCTCTTTGGATTTCTGATTATTCTCAGGCAACAGTTGTCCACACAAAATTACTGATCGTTCTTTCTCCCTGGACTATGTCACTAGAATGTGATTTGTACTGAAATTGAAATAAAGCATGTCCTGAATTTCTTAGTACCTGCCATGTTGGAACAAAAGGATCATGGAGTTCAGTGGGCAGAGAAATAGGTATGATTGAGGGAGGGGTTTTGAAAGCCAGGAGGTGATCAGTAAGGCAGAAAGAAGCTAAAAAAATAGAAAATGTTCTCCTCTTCTCTGCTCCTTTCTGTGCCCATAGAGGAAAAGGTAGTAAGAGTAAAAAAGAAAACAAAACCCAGAAACCATGGAGGCAGAATTGGAAGGGGAGGACCTAAGCAGAAGTTAAAAATCTCTAGAGGGGGTGGAACACAAGCAAGTAGCCTGGGGGCACAAGCTCAGGAAAGAGGGAAAGAAGCAAGAAGTCAAGGGTGAAAGTATTTTGTGTGGAGCAGGAACATAAAGTTGAAACAGTGTCAGAAGAGTCTGTTGCCTCTGGAGAGTGTGGAATTCAGCTCTTGTGGCCCTTAATTTTTGAACCTTTCTTCTGAGGGATCCAAGGACTGAACGAGTTCAGGAATGCACTGCTAATGAAACCTTGAGTAAGAGTCAGCAGAATAAAAGTGAATAATGATACAAGTGGCTTTGAAGTTAACTGAACTCTGATTCACTGCATGTCAAATCATCATTTTGCTGCATTAGTGGTTGGTGAAATACACTTTGGAGTACACTACAGCAAGTAGTTCACAATTTTTCCTTTCTGTTCTCTATTCTGAGAGTTAATGTTCATGTGTCACAGGGACAAGTGACTTCTGTTTTTCTTCTTTGCAGAAGCTAATTCTCCTACCTTGGATATTTCAAATGTTACATTTTAGTAAAAGATGGGAACAGCATGACTGGAGATTTGATTGCCTCAAGCTTTTTAACCTTATCAGAAAAACTAAGGTTGATTGTTTTGGCAAATTTGCCAACAGCATGAAAAGCAGTTGTTGGAAAGCAGAAGAGTGGGTGTAAATGGCCAGTAATTGGTACAATGCTCTCGCATAGTGGCATGGCTTTGCCAAATCTATGGGTAATTAAGAAAAATCTTGCTTCAGTTATAAAGATCCTGGGCCCTCATTCCAGAAAGCACTTAAGCATGGGCTTAGTGCCACAGAGGTGCTGAAATGACCTTACTGAGGAATTTGAAGATATAGCAGTAGAAGTAAGCTGGCAAGCTTTCCTGATGAGGTGCAGGTTTACCAAGACAAATTAGATTGTTCAATGGAGTAGGCTGTACTGTACCAACAGTGGGATTTTCTGGTAGGGAGGGAAGGAGCCAAATATACTTTCCTGAAGTGAGGGCATGTTTGTAACATTTGTTAAATCTTTTCCTGAAAAGATTGCACATGCTAATTTTATTTATGCTTACTGCTTTACTCTAAAAGTAAATTAACAGGTATTTCAAGTAAATGCTTTAACATTAGATTTATTTGGGTGGAATTTATTCTAGAATTTGCTTTTTTTTTTTTGTAATATTTTAGCATTAGGAAGGTAATTTTGTTAGGTTTGTATTTTTTGTATTTGCATTTATAGCATGACCATTTTGAAAGTGTGTGATGGTGTTTGAAGATCACAAGAGGGAAACATAAGTTTTACATTTCCTGAAGTGTTTTATCCATTATAAATCTGTTTCATTTATGTCATAGTGGCCTTTTCCTAATTTTAGTTCCAGGTCGTTTTGATGTTACATTTGAGGAAATGGGGCAGAGTGCTACGCTGCCTGTATTAGTAATCATTCCTTAATCAGATAAAGCAAATTACAGCCAAAGAAGTTATTGTCTTGGCAATATGGGTTTTTGTTTGCATTAAACCTGGCAAAAGGAAAGGTTTTTTTTAATTGTTCCAGTGATCGGATTATTTGCAGTGACAGAACAGGAAATCTGGAACTAAACCAGTCACTAAGCCTTGTTGCTTTAGTTGATAGTGATTAACTGGTTTTACAGGTGTATATTTTGAACTGTTGTAGAAATGACAGCTGTCTTTCTGATGCCTCCTGCTGGTTGATGAAACAGACAGCTTCGGCATTTCCTGAGAGGGAGGAAGGAAGCCTGCCTACTTTTCTAGACAGAAGGAATGTATTGTAATACTGCAGGGATGATGAAGGACACATTCAGTTAGAGAAAATTTTATCTCTGCCCCAAATGAGATGATCTGCATGTTTAGATTATGTTTTTGGAAAGTCCTGTCACATTTTGCATTGTATGTACAATTATAATTCTGCTTAGTTTTCAGATTGTAAGCAGAATTACATATACCTGTAGGTAGGTTAAAATATGCTTTTTTTTCAATTGCCCCACTTTCCCTTACTGTGTATAAATACTAAAAGTACTCATTAGGTGCCTCAAGATTTGTTCTTGATAGGAAAGCCCGCAATTGACAGGGATGATAAATCAAGTTGCAGCAGAGTAATAGTGAGTGGCTTTAAAAGTACAGCAGAAATCTTTCTTAAATGAGCCTGACATGTTATATCATAAGAGCAGATTATATTTTAATCCTTTTTCTTTGTTGTAAAGGTATTATATACTGAGAAATACAAACTTATAGGGACAAATTTTCTTCTCACTTAAGTGAGCTGCATTAGGAGCCGTTCTATAGAAGGTAGTTCAACAGTGAAAAACTGGCATAAGGAAAACCAGAATCTCTCTACTTAGATGTAGTAAAATATTTATCATCATAGAAGTCTGGTGCAATTTTTGAGGTTTGGTTTGTACTTGCAAAGTATCTCTAAATCTCTAAAATTAAGGCTGAAATTATTTCTGATCTCTCTTCTTACAGCTGGTTACGGGATAGCTCTAGTCAACTAGTAGAAAGAGGGTATGAAACTTCCTGTAAGGTTTGGAGTGGGAAAGAAATGATCACCATTTTGCACGAAATGGGAATAACTGGTATTACTTTTCCCATTTTGCAGGTAATGTTATATGCTCTATAAATGAGTACCAGAGTGCATAATGTTGATGTTAACACCTGAAAATGTACAAAATTTAAATGCTAGCACATCTTTTAATTTACTGCAATATTGAAGAGCTGTCTGAAAATGATACCTCATGAAAACTAGGAGTAATCCACTTGAGTTACTGGCATTTGTGGAGAATCAATGTTTTAAAAGGATATAATTGGTCATGTACAATTGTTTACGTTGAATCATTGAGTCGGTGATAGTTTTGTCTGTTCTATCCATCTGCATTTTTTTGACTGTTGAAATGTATTTACCGTTTTCAAGTTTATCCCTCCTTTCTGTGTAAGCCAAATATGTTAAAAGCATTGTTACTTTCCAATTTTGTCTTCAGTCTGACTCAATAGGTGTCTTAAGTGAACTCTTAAAACAGTGTGCTGATAGTCTTGTATCTGTATTAGCTTTGTTTTTGAGAAGATACTTAGAATGTTGTTAATGTGGAATTTGTTTACCTCTTATAGAAGCATCTTGCTGCTGTCCTGGAAAAAGAAGAAAAAATATCAGTGCTTGGTAAAGAGGAACTTATTCAGATACCAGTTGTGAGCTCTGCCACTCAGATTGTGCTGAAAGGGTTATTCATGGTTCTTTTATGTCTTTTTAAAGATAATAGCAGGTCAGTGCAAATACATGGTCTGAGCTGCGTGGTGGTGTTTAATTCAGCTGCTTTGTCAAAATGCCTGTGGTGTCTGGTTTCTGAGCAAAACTAACATTTCAGAAAGCTTTGGAAAATCTTATTTATGTGGGAAGAATTTAAATACTGACTTTTGTTTTCATTTTTAAATTAATTCAAATACTGAAGAAATATATTTGAAGGTTAGGTTTTCTGGATATGTTGCCAAGTGAAGTCTGCATGGGTTTTGTTTCTCTGCATAGCACCTATCATTTGACTGTCTTGATATCTTGACTACTAATGCCAGCAGTTATTAAAAATTTATAATTTAAACCTTATTTTAAAATATTAATTATTGTAAAGTTTCACTTTTTTTCTGAAAGTATAAAATTATTTCATATAATTAAATTGTAAATGCATTGTAGCAAGACTGTCTTTGCTTTGTATGAGCTTAATGCTTACAGTTTGATTGCTTAATTATACTTTTAATTGATATTTATATATCCCTATATAGGTATGCAGATGACTACAAAGTTGCTCTACAACAAACTTACGCCTGGGTGAATGAAAACCAACTTGATGTTTCAGATACAAGTGCCTTTACACGCCCCAAGCATAAAAGGAGTTTGCGGCAGAAAACTGTAGTCCATATGCTGAATTTCTGGTGCTTGAATCCTGCCGTGGTGAGCTGAGTGTGAAGTAGAAGGCTTTAAGTCATTTGAGTGATAACAAATACATATAAGATCTTAAAGTGATTGTACTGATTTTCTAAATTCCTTCTTTTCTTTCTCCAACCTAGGCTTTTTCAGACTTAAGTGATGTTAGAACAATTGTTCTGACATCTGGTACACTCTCTCCGATGGATTCATTTTCTTCAGAACTTGGTGTGAAGTTTTCTATTCAGTTGGAGGCAAATCACGTTATTCGGAACTCACAGGTAAACTTTTACATCGTTGTTCCCCCTCCTGAAGTGTAATGCTGGCCATTTTAAAGAAACAATAATTTACAAATAAAAATGATGATAAACCCATTCCATAAGTAAGAAGAAATGTACAGAACAGACTATTGCTTGGATTAATTAAATTGTAACGTACATTTTCTAATGAAAAAAGGAGCAGTTTTTAGACACTCCCCTGGAAAAGTTGTGAAGTCATGCTATTTTGATAATAGCCATCTTATATCACTTATTGCACTCTTTCTCTTCTGTTTGTATGTCCTGGAATTAATTTGTTCAGAAATATCTCAGTATTTTGCTTCACACTTAAAATTTCATTATCTAACCCAATGTATTTTAATTTAACCCAATGTAATTTAATAGAGTTTGTGTCACATATTTTAGAATTAACTTTTTAATATGAAATATACCAGGTTTGGGTTGGCACCATTGGAGCAGGCCCCAATGGTCGCAAGTTGTGTGCCACGTTCCAGCATACAGAGACCTTTGAGTTCCAAGATGAGGTGGGAGCGCTTCTGCTTTCAGTGTGTCAAACAGTTGGCCAAGGAATTTTGTGCTTTTTGCCATCCTATAAGGTAAGGAAATCTTAATTCATATTCTTCCTCTAAAAACACACACACCCTACTTGAAAATATACTGTGTAATCTTTTGCTTTATGCCTCAACATATAGAAATGTTTATAAAATAAATGTATTGTAATAATACATTGTGATTATATTATATTGTAATTTCTTGGGTGTCATATTGGCTGGCATATGAGTTTGTTTTAATTAAAAAACATGTTCGTGTTTGTTTTCAACAGATATCTCTATCTTAGCTAACGAGTACAATTGTTTTGATTAGCTTTACAAAAAAAAGACAGGCTGATTTGCAGTTTTTTGTTAAGTTGTTTCACTGAATGTTTTGAAATTATTAAAAAAAAAAAAAATTCCTCCATATAAGCACATGTCATGAAAGGAAACTTTATATGTATAACTCAGCAGCAAGAATGCCTTTGCACGTTCTTTGTATGCTGTTTGAATGTGGTATTCATCCAGTTAATTTCATCTTTCCTTGTTTCTTGTTCCATTTCACTGCTTTGGAGATGCTATAATATTTTTCTTGAGTGAGGGGGGGATTGCTCACTGGCATTGACTGAAAAGAATCAAATTTCTCAGTTTCAAACTACGTAATATCTGATTTCATTGACAACAGATATCTAATTATGTTTTAATTTGTACCTCACTGTAGTTCTACTTTCATTAGTTCTTACTGTTGTTTATGGTCAGCTCTGAGGAACAGGAATATAAACCTGCAAGGTAATTCTGTAATGCATGCCTGTTTTTCTGGTAATGCTTGCAAGAGTGTGACTTTTTTCATTTTTAAACCATCATTGATGATTTTAAAAAATCCTTTCAACAAACAAAACAAAAACCTGTCCAAAAAAAAAACCAAAAAAAACCAACCCTCAAAAATTCTACCAAATGAACAAAAAACCCCAGCATAATAGAAATAAGGGTTTCAGACCATTTCGCTCATCTCTAAGGTTCCCTAACAGAGAATATTTTAAAAAATGAATTAAACCATATTTCTTCTCTTTTACAAAACCTTCATGTTAGTTTTACTATTTAACTGAAGAGGCTGCGAAGCGAGGGTTTTTTCTTCACTGGGTGTCTATGAAAAATTGCAGCCATCAGTGCAATTGCTGACAGTAGCCATTAGGTGACCACATTGGACCAGGTAACGTACAGTCACTGAAAAAAAGATTACTGACTAGACATTTATTTAGCCTGTCTCATGAAAATGTGCATTTATATGCAACGGTAACGATCTGAAAAATAAATTTTGCGTTCGGTTTGTTTAAGAATTGAAATGGGAGCGTGTTTCAGTTTTCACTATCATCATTATTCTTTCATAATGTTGAACAGTATGTGATAGTTGATCTTATGTACACAGACTTGACAAATACTTATGAAAGTTTTTATGAGAATAGTAATCTGAACTGAACATATAGAGAGATTTTGTAATGACATTTAATAAAGAAGGAAAGAGATTGCTGGACAGTGCTGATACCCTTCCCCCTCTTGCTGCCCTTATGTTTTACTGAAAGGTCACGTAGCTAAACACGTTGAGTGGTTTTTTTCCTTTGTGGGAACACTTCCATGATCCTAGCAAAAGTATTGATAAATATAAATTGCAGACAATTGAAGGATGATATTTTAAAATCACATTGCCAATATTTTTCTATGGATGCCCTTTTTCATTTTACTTCTTTTATTCTGGATTGGGTTGCTTTCAAGTCTGAGATTAATATGTTGAAAACACAGAATAATGTAAGTAAGCATATTAGTATGGGGAAAATAAGGTATTTTTCTTTCACCATCATACGGAATATTGCTTACCTGCACATTTGCATTTCAAAACTGATTTTCAGAGATTTTCACAGGGAAATTGCTACGTCTCTTTAGAAAAACTGCAACTTTTAAAGACATTGTTCAAGGCTATCAAAATCTGATTAATATACATAGTCATGTACCTCACTAAATTAACTGAGTTAAGCAGATTTTTTTGAGGGCTCAACCTGTTTTATGAGTTGGAGTTTCAACTTTGGTGTAAGTGAAAAGCAGTCTTTTTAAATGTCTAGAAGGCTGAGGGCAGTGCTCTGAATTTTGAATACGATCCCTCCAGGTAGTTTGGAGCTTGAATTTACGCATGTGCATTGGATTTCAGTTTGGTTACATCTACAGATGCATTTTTCAGTTCAAAATTGTCTTTCAGCTTTAAGAATTTGTGGCTCAGCAGTGGTGCCTGTTCCTCTGCACCTCTGGCAGAAGCCCTGCCAGATGGCTCTGTCTGTTTCAGTACCTCACTTTCAGCATTCATGCTGGGCATTTTTACCTGTTTGCCTGAAAACCTCTTTTGACAATTATCCCTAATAATTTTGTATTGTAAATAAAGTTAATTTTATTTTTCTGGAAAGCCCGTTATTAATTTAATTCAGGTAGTAAATGGAATGTTACCTTGCTTGTTTGTATAGGAAGAGAGTGCTAGAGACAGAAATAGCATCTTGCTGCACTTTTGTTCACTTTGAATTTCATAGACTTTAATTCACTTTAATAAAATATAGGTATGTGTTCTTTTTTGTTTTGAGAATGGTAAATCAACACTTTTTTGCCTCAACCTATGGGAGTAGAAAGAATGGAGGGTGTAACACCTGCCACAGGAAGCAGAAGTTGAGGACCCTGCCTGACACAATTTGTGGTGATGTTGGGAGCCTAGGTTAGCGCCCAAGCAGTGTTCTCTTACTGCTTGTTATTCAGAACTTCATTACACAGTGTCAGAAATTTATGTCAGAAATAGAATGAATACTACCATTTGAACTTCCCAGTCTGGAATTTAAGGGGCTTTTATGAGTAATATTTATTTCTCTGTACTTTGTCTGGAATTTCAGGTTGCTTTGTATACATTAAAGAAGTAATTACCAATAGTTGGTGAAAGTGAGTGACCCCTGTATTCATGTTCGAGCTGGAGAAACAAACTCTGGCAGAAATTTAATTTAATTGTTTCAGACTTCTGAAGTGTGCAAGAGAGAGAAAAAATATCTCATACTCACCTCTAAGAGATATCAACCTGATAGAAAGTTTCCAATGTGCAAATAAATAGAGGGCAAGTAAAATTTCTAAATGTCACCACATTAACCTAATCATAAAATGAGAAAACTGGATACTGCTTATAGAACATCTGAGGTGAACATGGTAAATGTCAGCAGAGTACACTGCCGCAGGAGCTAGCATTTTAGTCATACTCCTTCTAGTGCTAATGCGTGCAAAAAGCATCCATTAATGGCTTGCAATTTTCTCTATTAGCATTTCTTCAGGTAGGTTATTTCCTGGGAGATTCTAGATTTCTTTGAAGGGGCTGTCTACTGCCAGGAAGAGGTAGCAGTCACTTGTCTGTATTTTTCTCTGGAGTGCCCCTTACAAGAAGGTATTTATAATCTATAGAATGTTATTCAACTGTTTTGTAAAGAGTTTAAATTCTGCAACATTGTAAGCCTCCATCCTTTCCTGATCAAACTTTTAAGAAAATACTTTGTTGGGCTGGGAAAGTACTTTCCAAAGACCTTCTTACCTGATGTATGAATAGCTGTTACTGCCAAAAAATCTGAAACAAAAATGATTCACCTGTTATCTTCCTCTGTACCCCTCCATCCCTCCATTTATTTTTTTAATCAATGCAGCTGTAGCAGAAAGAGCTCAGTGCAATTTTGTGGGCAAAGTCTGCCACCTTGTTATCTCTGCGTAATTTGGAATTACTAAGTGTGAATATGAAAAAAGCAATAGGTAGAGAAGTTTGCCTTTATCTTAATCAGGTATTTGAGTGAACACGTTTTCATTGAAGAGTGACTGCTTAAAATATGCGTATGGTGTATATGCAAGGTTAATAATGCAACGGAGGAAATTATATGGATGAGAAGAAAACAATGCATCAGATATACATCTCTTCATTTGATAGGTGTCTGTTTATGTTATGAACAGTTGTGATGCCATGTTTCATGAATGGGGTAATCTACAACAACATACAAATTTTTATTGGTATTATTTGAGTTCTGGCACATTGCTTTTTTTTTTTAAATAAGCTTAATCTGAACATTTATTAAATTGCAAACCTAGATCATTTCTAGAGCTACTTAAACTTGGTGATACTATGCAACAAAAATGCATTTATGTGAAAATCAGTAGCAACTCCAGCACAACCACTCTATAAAAGAGAATATTGGAAGGTGAAAAGATTACCCAGAAATCTAAGATGCTTTTAAACAAGATTAAGATAAGGACCATTAGGGTTCATGTCGCCGACCTGTCTGCATTAAGATATATCTTGCCTGGTGCCTGCATCTGAGATGATTCATTCAATATGTGTCATATCAAAGTCAAGGTATCCAGCAAGGAGAAAAATGCTAATGCTTATAAATTTTAGTGATAATCCATCATGATGAATTAACTGACCTTTCTTTAGTAGGTTTTGTACAAAACAAGCATTGGACAATAATGTTAATGTTGGTGGTTTTCTTGTTTGGGTTTTTTTTTTTTTTTCTGTGACGCATTGTTGGTTAATTTGTGTCTGCTAATTGTTGAGCCATAACTTGGAAGTAAAATTTTTAAAATAAGGTAGTTGTTCAAAAGTCTTTGAATGCCTGTTTTCATCAGTAGAACTTATGAACTGGTAAGTGTTCTTCACTGGAGAATCCAAGATTTGTTTACTACTTTTTTCTTTTTCTCCTACACCTTTAAGATGTAGTGATCTCCATTGTTTGAGATTAATCATATTGCTTTTGTGTCTGCTTTTCTTTACACAACTTTAACTTGTGAGGTCAAGTAGCGGTTTTACTCAGTAGTTGAACAGTGTTGCTGTGTATTTTGCATTATACTGTATCAAATAGTTTTGTAGAGGGAAATATCTTGGAAAAATGAAGAAAATATCAAGAAATACTAGCCTACGAAGTTAGAGATAGTAACTGCTTTGTTGTCTGTCTTGTGAACCTCTTAGAAGTGTCTGAATGACCTAAATCTGCATTTTAAAAATTATTTGCTCT